ACCTATAGGGGGACCTAAAAGCCTACGGACACGACTGCCTCCAACTTTTTTTTTTTCAAGTGAATAGACACTCATAATTACTTACCAAGTAAATAGCAAAAATAACAATCATGATTTGGGCATAATATTTGATGCTCATAACAAAATGCATGGGGCGTATTAGGATTCCAGAACTTGTGGGGTAGAAGTCGCTGCCGTTGCGCCATTAAATTGTCAACTATCAGTCACAAATTGTAAGTCTATTCATCTGTCTGTATTGAATAAATAGAACAAAATAACAACCATGATTTGGGCATAATATTTGATGCTCATTACAAAATGCTTGGGGCGTATTAGGATTCCAGAACTCATGGGGTAGAAGGCGCTGCCGTTGCGTCGTTTGATTGTCGACTATCAATCACAAATTCTAAGTCTATTCATTTGTCTGTATTGAATAAAATAGCAAAAAATTACAACCATGATTTGGGAATAATATTTGATGCTCATTATAAATGCTTGCGACGTATTAGGATTCCAGAACTTGTGGGGTAAAAGGCGCTGCCGTTGAGCCATTCAATCGTCAAGTATCAGTCACAAATTCTTAGTTTATTAACCGGTCTATATTGAATAAGCTGGTCGGTTCACCATAGGGCGTGTTGGACGGCGTGATCGGAGTGGTCTCGCAGCCGTGGCGCGGCGCTCAACGTGGAGGCGCCGGGGGATTTATGAAGGGCTTGGGGCTGGGCACGCTGGGTCTCATAGTGCGCCCCATCGGCGGCGTCGTCGATTGCACCTCGGGTCTGCTCACTACACTGAAAAGGTTCCTTTGCTTTTGTTCAGTTCACTAGAATAACAGGGAATACTTTGAAATAATATCACAGTCCCACAAAAAAACACTACCCTGCGCGAAAGACCAGACTTACTATTTTTTTAACTACTAAAAGTTAATGGGGCAATAAGGAACAATCTAAACATCTACAAGGTGCAGCTACACCTTGTAGATGTTCAGATTTTTCTTCGGACTCTATTACTAAGAGGAAATGAAATAAATAGATCATAATATTACAATACATTTTGATAAGAATCCAAATGATTTTAAGCATAAAGTAATCACAAGTATTGTTGCAAAAGACCTTTTGGTTTTAAAATACAGTTTATTAAAACAAATTTGACGGTCTCGTAAAATAAATAACTCTATTCAGTTATAAAGTTTGTCTCTATTAATTCTGACGTCCCAAAATTAATATAATCAAATTGGCGGGTTTGTAAACACAGTTGAATTGTGTGTCATTGGTCAACATAAACTTTGACATCGTTTACTTTAATAGGTACAATTTATTAGATTACACGTATTCGTTAAAATTGAGTTTGAGATTTAAAGTGAAAAGTGTGATATTTTCACACTTTTAGTAGGTTTTGAATATAAAGTGTACCTAAAATAGAGCAACACGGGTGGCGCGGCCAGGAGGCGAGTAGACATGAATTGAGCATACAAATTGGGCTTACAAACTTTACTTGTGTGCAGGATTTGGCGATCTTTTGTGTCATTAAACAATGACACAATAGATCGCCAGATCATGTTTTATATTAAAGATCCATTTACAATTAACAATATTTTTATCACTAGGTGTGGGAACCTAAAGTCCAGGTATGTTTTGCTAGTAAGGAATTAAATTCTTCCTTTATAGCATCTTCCCACATATCCTTAACATGAAGTGTGTGTGTCTTAATTTCATCGTAAAAACTTGGCACTTTACAAAAAAACAGATTGAGCACTTAACAAATCAAAATCGTTATCTCTTTATACGATACAAAGGGACGGTTTTAAGTCTATCACTCCTTCTTAGGTTAATAGTTTTATCAGTACTATTTTTATTATGATAACTAGCGGCCCGTCCCGGCTTCACACGGGTGTATTAAATCAGCATTTATATCTAGAAAACAAAGAAAAATTAACAACAAATAAAGAAAAGGAAACAGTGGAAGAGCTTTTCACTATATAACGAAAAAACAATTTTACAAAAGCTACACAAACAAATTTGAAGGACGTAAATTCAATGAATGAAAATTTAGTTCCACACGCATCGCTTAGGGAACCTCGATTTTCATTCTACGGCATTCAATTTTCCATATTTTAAATTTTCGAATACTGCTTACGTCACGTTCTATTGTGTCTTGCGCTTGTTCTTTTTTTTAAATATTGTATTGGTTCTGAAATGAGATAGTTTGAAGCCACTTTTTTTATAATTATTTATATAGGTATGGAGCATTACAATGTCTCCATCCGTATATTGAATATCTATAGAAATACCTACTATATAGCTGTCCCAGCGAACTTCCTACCGCCATAAAAATAGGGGTTGGTGGTAGAAGGGTTATTAAGGGTTGTATGTATTTTTGTATGATGATGGTCCAAAAAAAAATGTTTAAGTGTGGACCACCCTTAACATTTAGGGGGATGAAAAATAGATGTCCGATTCTCAGACCTACTGAATATGCAATTTAACGAAAATCGGTCGAGCCGTTTCGGCTAATAGTTAAAACTGTCTTTATCAGTTATTAATAAAATGTGAAAAAATAATTATTGCACTGGAAATTAATAATAAATTCACGATGAGAGTAAAATTAACGTAATAGATGCACAGAAAAATTAAAATAATACGGATAAGTCACTGCTACGATCGATACACAAATGAAACCAAAAAAAAATGGCCGAAAACTGTATATTGAGGAAGAAAGGAGACCGGCTTCCTTCTCATCCCTAGGATGAGAGGTGACCCAGGTAGACATCTAGCGGGGATAACTCATCGATTGATCGTTGATCGGTTATCGACCGATGAAGGCGGAAGATCAAATTGAATTGAGAAAAAAAAAGAAATTATTAAAAATAAAATTCGCGATCGTAAAATAGGGGTTAATTTTAAAGGTTTGAAGATTCAGGGTTATATGTATTTACTAATGCTGTATCATAAAATATATATATATATATATATATATATATATATATATATATATATATATATATATATATATATCTAAAATAAAAAAATAAAAAATTAGGGGTGGATTACCCTTAACATTTAGGGGGACGAAAAATAGATTACATCCGATTCTCAGACCTACTGAATATGCATATAAAATTTCACGAAAATCGGTCGAGCCGTTTCGGAGGAGTTTAACCACAAACACCGCGACACGAGAATTTTATATATTAGATTAGAAAAAGAATTAATGGCATTATTATCAATTTTGCGAATTTTATTAGAACGCTCAAGGTCATCAGATTTATTGATATCTGATTTATTACTGTCGGAATTTTGAGACTTTATGGACACAGATTTAGACTCACGGTCACTGTTATCTGTTTTGTCATGAGTATATTTATTATACTCTTCTGCCTTAGTTTCTTGTTTATGTGTGAGTGTCGTAGTTACATATTTGTTTTATATTCGTGTAATTGCGTGTACGTTTAGTTAAACGTACACGTAAGTACGTGCGTTTGATGCATATTCCCCTCCGCAAAAATGACAGAATGATTTAAATAGTTTTACGTCGCTATGACTACCCCCTTCCGTGTTGTTCTATGGTACCCAAGAAGCTTATATACAACCCTGGAGATTGCGGAGCAAACAATACCTTGAAGTGAAAAAATGTGGCCATGAATGACATCACATAATGTTTGTTATCTCTTTCTAAGGGTGACCATGTTTGAATATACGTTTAGGATACATACATACCGGTATCGTCTTTAAACAATTAATAAATCAAAACGTAGGATAGGAACTTGGGAACACAGTATTTATTTAATAGTAATAGAAATCAAGAGTAGGACTTCAGGAGATTGTAAAAATTATTGATATCTTGCATAGTTCTGTTTATTTTCACTTTCTGATGGGAATGTCTTGTATTTATCATGGTAATTTCAGATAGTGTGTGAGAGAGATAAAAATCATATCATGGGGTTAATGAAATTATCGTCATACAGAAGTTCTACATGCAATCTCCAGTGTTGTATATAAGCTTCTTGATGGTACCTTAGCTTCCGTTCATTATAACCTAAACAAATAAGCCCGTTTTCCACCGACAAAGAGAAATGAACTAGGGATGTCTAGCGGAGCGATTCTCGTGTACATAAATTAGTATTGCTTTTCCACCGAGAAAGAGTTCGGCAGTATTGAGCTCATTTTTACTCTTTTTACCCTTTTTGTCATTTTTGCTCGACTTTTTATTGGTGGAAACACAAGTATGCGTTTTAGTATTGCGAGGTAAACGGAGTCATTAATGGGCTCGCTCCGGTCGCGGTGAAAACCCCTTTTATTCTTTTCTACAATGGTTGTGGGAGATGTAATATTTTTGTGTGTAATCTGCATGTGTTTCATGATAATATGCGCTGCCTAATTGGTGTAACAGGTATCCATCGTACCAGGTTAATAACATTTGTAATACTGTGAGTATTGTAATGGAAAATTGCTGAAAACTAGGTTTGGGATGTCTGATATTATTTATTATTTAGCGGTAATAGAAATACACATGCTGTGTAAATATCAACTTGTGTCATCCCGCTTCAGCCCGCTGACAGAAATAGGTTTCCTCCGATCTCACTATTTATATACAGAAAGGCAAAAAAGGCTATTGAAATATAAAATAGAGCATTTATTTACTCATTTTAAATTTAGTTTCTTATATGTTTTTTTGTATTTAGCTGCTATATTTAAAAATCTGGAGAAATTTTACTAGACAAAATTCACGAGTCCCCGGCATTGAGATGGGATTCGAATCCTCCCGCCCGGATTGCAGAAGGTGCGGGTTCGAATCACGTCTGGTGCCTGGACAGCGTGATTTTTTTTTCTAGTAATATTTTTGTTAGGAATTTAGTTAGATTATTATCCTGTTAAGGTTTAGTAGTGACTTCTGGCATACAGTATAGAAATGTTATAGCTTTCGCTTTTGCTGCACTAGCTTTGCTAATGTTCTGATTTGTTAAACTGTTTAATTTCATAAGTCTCCTATATTGATAACAGAGCCGCAGATCTGTCCGAAGAAGTGACGAAACGTCGGGCGGCTAGGTACTTACCAGCAGATTCTGGCGTAAAACCTTACTCCCGTCTACAAGCGGAAGGCTATAAGATGTTATCTGAACTGGAAAAGGTAACAATTTTCAAAATAACAGTTTACTTACTTTTGTGCCGTATAGCATATACATATATATATATATATATATATATATATATATATATATATATATATATATATATATATATATATATATATTATGTTTACGCGCCGTTGCCTACCCTGACCTAGGGTGTATTCCGAAATATACACCTGTACGCTGGCCAGCGGTAATGATGTCATGAACCGATGCCATGCTCTTGATTCATTCCAAATACACTGATCAGCGGTGAAGTCATGAACTAGCGCTGTATTTAAGCAGTCTCGTGTTTGTGTGCAACGTTCATGCTCCAAAAATTATAATAAATTTTAACCTACAATTTTAACTGTCATTATTTGAAAAGAATGGAAGTGATAGCTAACGACAATATTCACAGTATTCTCACCAGCATAATATGGCGATACACCAGTGCATTATGGCGTCGAAATCATGATGTCATTACCGCTGGCCAGCGTACTGGTGTATATTTCGGAAGCCACCCCTAATCTCTAACTTTGTGGCGCTCTGGAACCTTACTCACAGACAGAAACACAACACCACCTGTACGGGCGCTCCAATTCGATTGGAAATGCCCTATCTTAACCTAAATATTAAGAGAAGCATCCGTATGAATTTACAATCATGGAAAGTAAGATATAAGTGAAATCAAGGCAATTTATAAAAAGAGCTTCAATGATTTTGTATTCAGTCAGTTATTGACTTTTAAATGTTCGATATTTTATAATCATATTATACAGTCTTTTTATATAAGTAATTCAAGTTAATGTAGTTAAAATCGGGAGCATCAGTATCTACTATGTGCAGTATTCATTTATGGGTATTTAATTTTTTGATTGTTTTCTCATTTGAAGTTCTTTGAATTGTTTCATTTTGTTTGTAGGGCAAGCTAGTCAGCACGGATATATATGAAGCCCACGTGTGGGTGATACCCGCCAAAGAAGTGGTGATGTGCACAGACAAGCGACTTTTGTACCTCGAGCGGAATAACGTTTTCGGCGGGTGGCAGGTATGTGCAATAGTCTATGCCTAACTAATATTAAAGTGGTAAAGATTATTTTGATTCTAATGAAGTTTTAGTTTTAAGAGCCAAATCCAGATGTCAGTTGGATTAGTCCTTTCATTTTTGTTGCTTATCATCTTTCATTCTTTATTATCCCCTAGTCTGTGTTGTGTAGCTCTCCATCTTGTTTTTCACGGCCGGAAAATAAAAAAAAAACCGTCCGGTTTTTCTCTTATTATATGAGTTCTACTGTACATCCACGCTTCATTTATGTCTTAAATCAATCCTGAATAGTTTCTGTACAAACTTATGTATATATTAGATCTTTTAATGAAAAATCATTACTACATATGATATAACGCAAAATATGAAATAGTTTTCGCATCTCGTGGCAGAAATCAATCACTAACACAAACGAGGGGTTATATTTCGTAAATGCAAAGGAAAACAGAGTTTTTTTAGTTAAGTTAGTTACGTACTCGTGCGCAAATAATCAGCAGTTCACTTATCGACGATGATCTAAATATAAATAAATCTCTGTCAATAGTTAGTTACATTAACTGACATATTTACAAGTAAAAGCAATAACTTTTGCTCATTAGCAAAAGTTATTACTTATAAAAACGAATCAATCCATAATTTCAGATTACAATGAATAAAGCACAAATGGTTCCCTGTTAACGAAAATGGTGGCTAGTACTTGGTTAAGAATTCTCATTTTTGACAGTTAATATTAAATGAAAAAGGTTGCTGAAGTAATTACTTTCCAGATATGGGCAGAATCGTCACGTAATGAGATGTAGCCATTATCACCAAAAATTAAATTAAATTGAAAGTAATTACATTTAATTACTTTCAATTTAATTAAATTACATTTAATTACTTTCAATTTAATTCGAATTCAATGAGTAAGTCCCTCATTTAATATACAAGGTCCTTCAGTGTCACTTTAAAAAATATTGTGTAAAAAGGGACCCCCAATTATCTTGTTGGGGATATATACACAGTCAGGTCATGAGTATTGTCACACAGTAAAAACTTTTCTTTTAGAATGCTGGCCACAAAAAAGTTTATTAAATTCGAATTTCGAATTGTTAGAATTCGAATTTTACTCATTTTTAAATATGGAGTGGACGCTTAAAGATGAACGTGTTGCAGTTATTGCGTTGCATCAATTTGCGTTAAAATTTTTGACATACTGAAACATTTGAATATAACCAAATGATTCGTTTATCGTACCATCAAGCGATACAGTGAAGACTCTAATGTAGATGACAGGTCAAGAAGTGGTCGCCCTCGGTTTGTTAGGACTCCAGCAGTGATAAAAGCTGTGAAGGCGCGAATTCAAAGAAATCCCAAACGTCAGCAGAAACTGTTGGCTCTTCAGATGGGGTTAAGCAGAACCACGGTGAAAAGGGTGTTAAATGAAGACTTAGGGCTTCGGGCATATCGAAGAAAAACGGGACATCGTTTGAATGCTCGTCTAATGGACCTGATGACCTGACTGAAGAGATTTGTTGAAGCGGTACGCGGTCCATTTTATAATAAAACAAAGCTTATCATATCACTACTCTAAGGCAATCAAAGTAATGGTTGTGTAGAAATATTGCTTCTTTATCGTCTTCTGAAGAAAGCAATTTCATAAAATATTTACTAGTTATTGAATACTCGCAATTCCCGAGATGACATTTTGGTATACATAATGTATGACGGCCCGAGACCGCAGCGGTGTAAACAACTTTAGCCAATAATTTCATACTCGTCACCTTGCCCATTATAATATGATCGTCTGAATAATTGTTGTGTTGAAGTTCTTACACTCGTATTCATAAACATGTAATAAAATTACGCTTAGTAATTTCTTAACTAAGTCATTTCATTACTTCTATTATTATTATATTCTAGTCTCAACTAGAATTCAAAAGAAAATTTACTTTTATAAACGAGTAGATAGATACCTATCCATAATTTCAGATTAAATGATTAAAGCACAAATGGTTACATGTTAACGAAACTATCCATAATTTCAGATTAAATGATTAAAGCACAAATGGTTACATGTTAACGAAAATGGTGGCTAGTCCTTGGTTAAGGATTCTCATTTTTGACAGTTAATATTAAATGAAAAAGGTTGCTGAAGTAATTACTTTCCAGATATAGGCAGAATCGTCACGTAATGAGATGTAGCCATTTTCACCAAAAATTTAATTAAATTGAAAGTAATGAAATGTAATTACTTTCAATTTAATTAAATTTTTGGTGTAACGCAACGGTGGTGGTTTGGTGCAAATTGATGCAACGCAATAACTGCAACACGTTCATCTTTAAGCGTCCACTCCTTATTTAAAAATGAGTAAAGTTCGAATTCAAACAATTCGAAATTCGAATTTAATAAACTTTTTTGTGGCCAGCATTCTAAAAGAAAAGTTTTTACTGTGTGACAATACTCATGACCTGACTGTGTATATATCCCCAACAAGATAATGGAGGTCCCTTTTTACACAATATTTTTTAAAGTGACACTGAAGGACCTTGTATATTAAATGAGGGACTTACTCATTGAATTCGAAAGTAAAATTGTGGTTAAATATTTCTTAATTAGTGTTGTAGTTAGACAGAAGGATTGATTCGTTTGCATTAAAACTTTGTCATTAGATCGTTTGGACGTACCTGTGGTCGGAGATTCCAGAAGTGCCAACAGCCGTCAACAAAGGCGTTTACATACCTACTGCTAAGAAGAAGGTGCTAGGGATGTTCCCCTCCTCGAGTTCCGGGAAAGTTATATTTTTGTACGACGAGCAACAGAAGAAGTATTTGCTCGCTCAGTGCGATAGACTAATGCGTTCGGCCCGTTGACATGAGGACGTAGAAAGAATCACGCCCCTCGAATTTTTGGAGCAATTCTTTCTACTTATGTTCGATTCTCGCACCGCGTTGCTTACCCTAGCATATCACTTTAACCTGCACCATATAAGCCCGAAAGGTTTTCGCTAAAATATCTATCGCCAGTGCTTTAAGTGAACGGACATTTAAGGGGCCATCCATAAATAACGTCACAAGTTAAGGGGGAGGGAGTGGGTCGATGAGTGTGACATCGTGCGACAAGGGGGTGGGGGGTCCTAAATTTCGTGACGTCACATTTCATTAACAACCTAAACGAGAACGAAGTGGCTGCTATGCCAGTTAAATTTTAAAGGAGTGGGTGGGTGAGTTCAATGTCCATGGACTCAAGATTATTGTTTTTATCTTTTTAAATATATTTTTTCATTTGGTAATTTCTTTAATTAATAGTTTTTTGTTTTGTTAATTGTTTAATTTGATGTTTATAATGTTAAATGGAAATAAAACTGATTTCGGAACCGCTGTTAACATTTAATAATATCTAAATATAAATTTGCAAAATATGTGACGTCACACTAGGAAGGGGGGGGGGGGGACTCTCACAAATACGACCAGCTGTGACAAGGACGGGGGGAGGGGCAAAATAACATGTAATTCATGTGACGTAATTTATGGATGACCCCTAATATGCTTTATATTATTTTACTTGCGTTACCTATTTATTGTATTCAGTTTTGTAATGTGCAGTTTGAATACATTTTTATGGAATTTGTTTACTGGAAACTTGAGATATAAGATTCTAACGTTTGTCAGCATTTAAAAAAATTTCAAGACAAGTTGTTAAGTACATACTGCATTTTTCTTTATAGGTCTGTACTTTTATCTCAAGAATATAATAAGAATATTATTTTCTCTGTAATAATTAAATACTGTATTGACATTATGGGTAACCTGTATAACCTGTTTTAATACTTTTGCAAAGACTGTATCCCGATGTATTCTTTAATCTTATAATGAGGCTAATAGAGCCTATTATGTATTGTATGCCGCGTTACGATTGTATAAGCTAATGTTTTGTAAGTTTGTACAATATAAAATATTGTCTTCCGTTAAAAACTGGCTATAAACACTGGTACACAATGCAAATACTTGTAATAATTGTCTTTTTTATGGATATATTTTACTGTAGTAAGTTATTTTTAGTTTGTGTTCATTATATTCACATTATGTGAATTATCTGCCGTTGTTATAAGAATAGAAGATACATTATATCTTTTCAGTAAATCATTACATTTATTGATTTGCAAATCGATTTAAATACTGAAAGTACAAACTTTTATTATTGTTAATGAAGCTATTTTTAAATTCTGTTGTCATGATCCATGAAGTCATAGTTTAGAAGTTGTTGAGTCTCCAAAGATTTTTATATTATGATCTTAGTGATGTTTCTGTTTTCGCTCCAAGATGTTCAAATTAGTGCCTTAATGCCCGTGATTAATGTTGATTTTCTTGTGTGTATCACATTATATTATTATATACAGCAAATGATCAAATGTACTTATTTCTATGTTATGAATCTTTTGTTTGTTTCCTTCCAGGATTGTTGGTATAATAGTGCTTCGCTCAGAGCGCTAGCTTCTTGAGTTTTGTAAAGGCATTTTGATTATGCATTTTATGCGTTTAAATGGTTTCTTGTTGCACAATTTACAAATTATTATTTATAGCTGTTTTGTATTGTTCAAGCTTGTGTACGATCGATTTTTTAATATAAGAATTATATACTCATAACATGGTTGTTTTAATGATAAGTAAATCCCAAACAAAGACATTTTTCTATAGATAATAATATAATCAAAGAATAATAAATAAGAAATAATATTACGTACACATATCAAATTAAAAACAGAGTGAGTAATCAATCCGTTTTCTCTTTCTCAGCTCGGGAAACGAGTGGGATTCTTGTTTCGTTCTTCGTTTTCGTTTATTAGTTGTTTCGTGGGAGTTCTTTATTATGTGATATCCAACGAATTAGAAATATAATGAAAAACAAACTGCGCTAAAAAATGGTTCCACGCGAACTGTGATCAAGGGGGCGGCGCGAAAAAACTGCTATTAACTCACCGATCATGGGATTAGCTGGGATTTTCGTTTAACATTATCTTATCCAATGAACGGATCGAGTCTGTGCAGAAAGAGAATGGGATTTAGATTGGAGGGCGCTGTAGTGCTTTTCTACCGTATTTGTAAGGTTTTACCCCTTTTAGACATGATTAAATACAAAAAACCGCAAGAAATTACAACAACAAACAAATCCGTATCAATACAAAACTTTGACGTTTTACAGATTTGATTTCCAAATAAAAATCATAATGTTAGTTCCGTTTTTCGCCACGCCCATTCTCTTTCCGCACAGACTAGCTGAATTATTCATTTGCAGATATTTGATTTGTCAAAATATTTTATTTTGTCTGTGTGCGTGTCGCGTTAGTATTGAAGTTTAGTTGAATAAGTTCGGAACCATGTTTTAGCGGTCTTCGTTAAAGAGTAATGCTTTCATAACATTTCTAATTCGTTGGTGACCTACATAGTTAGGCACCAATTATTGTTGACGTTAATTCTTCACTTTCTATTCCACTTCTATTACGGCACTTAGCTATTCGTATTTGCTCCTTGTTTTTTGTTTTTGTTGTTTTCACTCCCTATAGAGTACCTAGGTAAGAAAAGGACAACCTGCTATCGAATTGCGAATAGCAAGTGAATTGCCGGCATTAGATATAGCGATGCGATTAACGACCATGATCATTATTGTTATGTAAAATTTTCACATAAACCAGATCCGTAATGTGTTACAATCAAATTTCGCTGTAAACGGGGTTTTATAACCGAACAATAAAACGGGATGTTTTGAATCATGACTTACGTCTGCCTACGCGTAATGACATCTTCACTTTACTGTGAAACGTTTAAATTTATAAGCGGCTCTATAAAGTTAAATTCCTTTGGAATCAAACCTGGCCAAGGACAAATGTAAATGAAAAAAGTGGTTACAAGATCTAGCAATCCTATCAGGGTTGCGCCCCGGCAACCCCCAGCAGCGCCTGAGTCCGAAATCTATGTAGGTACTATTTCTTTTTTTACACGATGCGTTTATAGTGCGACAAGGATCTATATGAATGTGACGGAAATTGTAACTGTACCCCTAGCACGAACCATTATAGAATTCGAATAGTTTGCAAACCGAAATGTCAATGACAAAGTATGGAAACTTGAACGGCAGCGGCACAAAGTACGTAACGAAAACTAAAAATCAGTACACATTTGACAATGCCATTTTGGACTCGCAAACGATACGAATTCGATATTGGTTCGTGCTAGGGGCACAGTACCTCTGGCACGAACCATTATCGCATTCGAATAGTTTGCAAACCGAAATGTCAATGTCAAATTTTGTATGGAAACTTGAACAGCAGCGGCACAAGTACGTAACGAGAACTAAAAATCAGTACACATTTGACAATGACATTTCTGACTCGCAAACGATACGAATTCGATATTGGTTCGTGCTAGGGGTACAGCAGCCACACAAAGTACGTAACGAGAACTAAAAATCAGTACACATTTGACAATGACATTTCGGACTCGCAAACATTACGAATTCGATATTGGGTCGTGCTAAGGGTATACTGGTCATTTATGTCATTTACGTAGACAGTGACGCCCTCCCTGAACTGTCATTCATATTCATAAAGGTTCTTGTCCTTCTTCTCGTAAGAACTAATTCAAACGAACGCTAATTTAAACGCATTTAAGTACCAAAGACACCCGAAGGTTGGTCGCACAGGTGTGGGAGAAGCATAAGAATTGAAATCACTACTTCTTCTTATGTTTTTCCACATATACCTAATCATTAAAGTTATCACACTACCAGGGATGCCGGCCACATTGTTAGAAACAATATTAAACTTTATCCCGTCTCCAATACTGGTTGTTCAATAAAACACGGAAAATATTATTATCATCTTCTGGTTTCATGGAATATCTACAATAATGGCAAGTTGCGCACACTGCACTGAGCTGAGAGTATCCATGGATTCAAAACATTAAAGATTTTAAACCTGTATATATAATTTCCTGATTCGCACTAGATACGGCACCTAAAACAAGTTCTACAAAGTTTGTGATAGCTTTAGTTTCTTCTGATAATAACAAATGCAACAATAAAAGTCTAAGCTGCATGCTTTCTGCATTTCCGTAGAACACCGGAATCATTAAATTTGCATAAATGCAGTAGCGCAGTAGTTGGGAGTTCAAACTAATGTTATTCCAAAGGTTGTAGTGCGGCTAAGCCCAAAGAAGCGATCACCTACATACCTAGGAAGTTACATCGATTAAACTTAATCTGAGGGTCTCTAAAGTGTAAAAATTATTAAGATTTGTAAAGGTATAACGTAGGTAAAGACAGTTTAACGCATAAACTGTTTTTGCCGTCGGGGTTACATATATTACATACCTATACTTAAATAGTAATGTTAAAATGTGCCCTTATTAATATTATTTAAGTTTTTTTTGGGCTATCCAATCCTAATGGAACTGTAGTCACTGCAACCTAAACTCAGGACATAAAAGATATATTGTGACTCGCCACCAAGTTAAAGTATCAGCCAGCTTCCAAGAAGCTTAGGACGTTTCTAGCTTTTAGAGATTTGATTTCCTCTGGACGTATTATACCTATGTCGTCCCAGATGAGTACTACGTTTGTGGATAAAAGGCCCACATTCACATAGAAGGTTTCACGCTCATGTAGGGCTACTCTATTTCAACGAAAAATGAAATTTCGATGGTAATTTCGCACGTTCCTTACTCTGTTTCCTTTTCATTTCGAAAATTCGTTTTAACAATCTGCAATTGAAACTAAATATTTCACAAACAAACCCCGTAATCACACTAATGACAATAAATAATAATAAATATTTCTAACACTCACACCAAATTAACCTAGCCCGAAACAAGGCACT